AATTAGAATGTGTATATTCATATAAACTAATCAGATAATAGTGGTGACGGTATCACTATAGCTATCAAACATACAATATCTAGCTAATTAGAATGTGTACATTCATATTATAAACAAATCAGATAATAGTGGTGACAGTATCACTATAGCTATAATACATACAATATCTAGCTTATTCGAATGTGTACATTCATATTATAATCTAATCAGATAATAGTGGTGACAGTATCACTATAGCTATAATACATACAATATCTAGCTAATTAGAATGTGGATATTCATATTATAATCTAATCAGATAACAGTATCACTATAGCTATCAAACATACAATATCTAGCTAATTAGAATGTGTATATACATATTATTATATAATCATATAATCAGTGGTGATAATACTAGAAATTCCATGATTTCACAAATACTCACCATTTTGGTAAAGTTTTTGAATGTGAATGCAAGGCACATCCAGTGATGAAATGTATTAATCTCATTTTTGTTCGTACTGTTTTTATATGCGTCTTATCTGGACCATCAATAATTTCTATCTTCCATATGTCATTGGCATCACCAAGACCATTCTGTAATAACAACACAGTTCTCAGCATTAAACTCAACTATTAATTGAGCCAGTGTATTGACTACAACTACCTAATACGTAAATTGCACATTCAATGTAAGAAGTGAATTCTCATTACCTCGCCATATCCTGTGACTTGATAATGCTTTTTAGTGATAGGTGCAGGCTCTTTATGAGAATGAAGGTTTCTCCTGGTCCTTGTAGAAAATTTGAAATTGATAACTTCAATAAACAAATATATCAAGATAGTAACAGGGCTAAACTTTGTTAAAAATTTAAACCTACACTGTAACAATATAATAGTAGTCTATAATACTGTCACTATAACAGTACATTATTGGTCTACAATAAAGCCTAAACTGCAACATTATAATAGTAGTCTATAATACTGTCACTATAACAGTACATTATTGGTCTACAATAAAGCCTAAACTGCAACATTATAATAGTGGTCTATAATACAGACACTATAACAGTACATTATTGGTCTACAATAAAGCCTAAACTGTAACATAATAATAGTGGTCTATAATACAGACACTATAACAGTACATTATTGGTCTACAATAAAGCCTAAACTGTAACATCATAATAGTGGTCTATAATACAGACACTATAACAGTACAGTAATGGTCTACAATAAAGCCTAAACTGTAACAATATAATAGTAGTCTATAATACTGTCACTATAACAGTACATTATTGGTCTACAATAAAGCCTAAACTGCAACATTATAATAGTGGTCCATAATACAGACACTATAACAGTACAGTATTGGTCTACAATAAAGCCTAAACTGTAACATAATAATAGTGGTCCATAATACAGACACTATAACAGTACATTAATGGTCTACAATAAAGCCTAAACTGTAACATTATAATAGTGGTCTATAATAAAGACATATAACAGTACAGTAATGGTCTACAATAAAGCCTACACTGTAACATTATAATAGTGGTCTATAATAAAGACATATAACAGTACAGTAATGGTCTACAATAAAGCCTACACTGTAACATTATAATAGTGGTCAATAATAAAGACATATAACAGTACAGTAATGGTCTACAATAAAGCCTACACTGTAACATTATAATAGTGGTCTATAATAAAGACATATAACAGTACAGTAATGGTCTACAATAAAGCCTACACTGTAGGTAAGTAAACCGGAACATATTCTCAATGATTTTTGAGAAACTCAAACAATTATTTTACTGAGTAGACTATATATTCCATCAATATCTACACATTGGCAATTAAATTATGCTTCTTATGTTAACTTTATGCATAGAAGAAACATTTCTTCAGTTATTGTTCAGTAGTTCAGCACAGGAAATGCTGCAGAATGTGTGTTTGGATGAAATTTATTTGGTGTTGAATGTGAGCATGCTAGTTCAATATGAAGAGCCTTACATACTCAAATATAATAAATATACACGACAAGACAAAGCAATACGCTACAATGGTACAGTATTGGTTTACAATAAAAGAAACAATATACCGGTAATAGAATTTAAAACTCACTGAAGGTGTTCTAGCCTGATTAAATCTCCATTTTTTACAAGATCCACCGAGTTATCTTCATCACTATCAAACTTTTTAATCAACCATTTGTTGTTATCATCTTTATGAGTATATGCTGTGATCTGAATACAAACGAGTTATTGTTATTGTTTATATAAATATATGATGTGATCTGAATACAAACAAGTTATTGTTATTATCTCTATAAATATATGCTGTGATCTGAATACAAACAAGTTATTGTTATTGTTTATATAAATATATGATGTGATCTGAATACAAACAAGTTATTGTTATTATCTCTATAAATATATGCTGTGATCTGAATACAAACAAGTTATTGTTATTGTCTATATAAATATATGCTGTGATCTGAATACAAACAAGTTATTGTTATTAT